AAATGTTGGGTAGTCGGTAACCATACCTATGGTACCAAATGTTGGTAGTCGGGACGAACATAAGCCAATTTTATTGGACAAAGAATAGCACCTGGGTCTATAGGCTGTAGGCATGCCTCAAATATAGGCGGCTTTCCTTATTCCGGCGAGTAAATATAGGTGGTTTTCCATCGGACAAGAGCGAAGTTAGAACTGGTCGAAAGCACCCAAACAGAGAAATTCCTGCAGAAATGGAAGCATAGAGGGGTGCTTTCTTTCTGTGAAATGCAGTATACAGTAATGATCCATGGAGTTATGCTATATTTCAATCAAATTTCGTATTAAGAAACCACTTGAATTTACAATATAGTTATTGGATGAAGAGATAATTACTGTTCCGTTTACATATTTACCAACGTTAAGCTCAAATTTTCCAGTTTAAGGGGCAAAGAGTCAAAATCTCACCGCAGATCGACAACATTAATTCTCAGATTGGAGTTTATAAACACATGAGAACAATGCTCATAAATTGGGGTTCCATCTGAGGGCTCTTCATGCGGATGAAACCCACGCTGATCACAGTTACGAATTACAGACACACCACCTGGGTCGGATAGATGAAATATGCCGTGTGGACTGCAATTACATGGGAGACAACTTATCATGCCGATTATATTATATGATAAACGATATTATCAATTTTGTCAAGAGTTAAACAAACCCACCTGGATGTATCTGTTGGAGCCATAACGATTGCAATTGCTTCTGGTAACATAATCTGAAACAAAACAAACCATAGCAACCCCTTTATATATAGTGCAGTGACACCTTGGAGAACACGAGCAAATAGTCAAAGGATATCTAATAATATAACAAATCCTTCACAGTAGAGAATGTATTTCCACAAAAAGAACTAAACCCGCGAGGAATTAAAAAAGTATCAATTGAAGTCAATAAAATACATATTACCAAAGAGTGAGGATAGAGAAAGGGGAGGCCTAGACTGTCGTGAGCCTAAAATTCACAAAAAAATGAAATACAAGAAAAAGAAAGGTGATTGCTTTTTTACCTGGTATGAGTAGTGAGTGTGCAGATCAACGGACGACATGAAACAGGTCTGTGATGGGTGTGTCTAGTGCATCACACAGATATGAAAATCAAAATAATTACATTTACAAGAGCAATAATAACAACCAAATGCGCATTGAAGCCACTGAAGCTATTGAGACACTTACATGAATCCAGCCAAGTGGAAAAAGAGATAATCTGTCTTGAACCTCAAATATTTCTTCCTCATTCAACGTTTGGCACTGAACATAAAACAAAGATAATGTTGTTAATAGAAATAGACAAAACGCACTTTTAACTTTTGAAAAGATGCACATATAAAATTGAGAGATCGCATTCAAGATACTCCACTGAGTTTACATAAAAATGCTTCTTTAATTCTAAATGATAATTTATTTATAAATGGGATGAGTCTCTTCAGCAAAATTGGTCATCTAATATATTTGGTACATAGTTTGCAGCTCGACGTGTAGAAAAACAATTTAACCATCTAATGATCTCAAGAAGGAAAATTCAGTATGATCAACCAGCATATGGAAAGACAAATCACAAGTTAACATGTGATGTATCCTACCGAATCAGAGGTCGACTCTTGCTTTGGGACTATTAGCGTGGTGATATGGAAAACCTTGTTTTTCTGCAGCCACAAGAAAAAAACGAAAGAATAAGAACCCAAGGGAATCAAATTATGTTAGTTTCCTCATAAAGAAAAGACCATTATATTCTTACCAATGCACCAGCAAGAATACCACACGTCTCTAAGTTTTTTTCTGTATTAGCCCTAGCCAATCTCAAGAAATCATCCATCAATTTTACAGGCTGCAAAACAAATTAAATGACAACATTCACCATTAGAAGCTAGAAAAATAATTTCTCATGGATTGTAAATCGACAAGAGATAGATCAAGTGTTTCCATCTATAAGAAGGATCAGAAATAGGAAGCTTACAACATGTAAATGTTGATATGAATTAGAGCTTGGCATCCCATCCAGAGAAGGTTTTGCAAGTCCTGGCCTTGGATCTGCCACTTTTGATGGAGGAATTGGAGTATATTCCTGCTGCACTTGAGCAAGTACAGGAGGAGGAGAAGGCTGACGGATGACCAACTTGAAAGGATCTTCCCTTGCTCCATTAATCAATGAAGGACTTGATTCCTGAGAAGAGCGTGGCCATGCACCATCATCCAAGGAGAGCACCGACTCCATTGTAGATTTAATTCCTCCTGGATCACCATCTTGTAAAGCCACAATATCATTTTGTACAGCCTGATTCAGGCTATAACCATGGATGACATGAAAATGAGTATGTTAGAAGCAGCCAAAACTAGTAGGAAAGTTCATCAAAGATAATCAAGCAAGCTTTGATTAAATACATGCTGAGAAGGAGGCAAAACATGAAATAAATATGCAGAAAAGGAGCACAGTTACAAGGTTTAGACTTTAGGCAAGAAGTATTGCATGAAAAACTCACTCTGAATTATCAGTAGGGATTAAGTCAGTACTGGTTGGATACTGAACCTGCATAGCGAATAGGTTAATTGAGTTCTGCTAGCTCAGGAATAAATAAAATATAAAAAAAAATTTGAAACTGCACCTAACAGTTTACCTTAACTTTTCCGCTAGGTCCTAGCCACTGGCCCTGAAGACCATTTGGACCCAAAAAGGAGTGTCTAGACAAAGTCTCTTTATTGGGAAGAGGTAGATTAAAAGATCTGCAAATTCAAGGAACTTTTGTCATAGTTCAAATTATGACCTATGGATATCCATATGCTATATACGGCTAGAAGAAATACACTCACAGCTTCTGGAACTGCTTGTCAATTTGTGTAGTATTTGTTGATATCTGTGAATAATCATTTCTATACTTCCATGATGACGGAGATGTCAAGCTACCAGGCTGCACGTATTAAATAGGATGGTAATTTAGTAATATCGATAGTCTTCCAACAAACTTCAAATAAACTAAAAATATTACATGCAGGCACAACAAGATTATGACACATCTTCTTAAGTGCTTTACAACTTAATGGAATCAATGACTAGATAATGAGAACAAGCATAACTAATCCCATAACATCAATAGAGCATTAAGTACCTGCCTAACGCTTAGGCTCAACGATTTATTGTTCACAGAAGGCCACTCTAAAGAAGACGTTGCCAAACCATTTGAAGTGCCTTCTAGGCTTTCAAGTTGAGGTAGTTGAGCAACTGCTTGGGCCTCGTTAAGTTTGCTCACTAGGCGCAGGGCTTCTGGCTTTAAAGATTCAAGCTCATCTAGTACTTTTAGCAGTTTCTGCAACGATGATACAACAGCCAAATCAGAACAGATGAAACGACAGCCAAATCAGAACAGGTTGAAGCACATTGAACAAGAAAGAAGTATTCAATTAATCACTATCTAAAAGAACAAGCATACTTTTACCTTTCTATATAGAGTTTTCTCTTTCGAAGGATACGTCTGGTAGTCTCGATGACACGGTATAGTTTCAGACACCAAACTGTAAAATTTTAACAATAAGGTTACAAATCTAAATTATTCTGCATGCTATTCAATCCCACACAATGTGAATCATCTAACAACACTATCAATCCCACAAAATGGGATCACAACGACGCTCTTTACGTACCTTGAGAATCGTAGAAGTATAACGTACAAATCTAGGATGTTTTTCTCCTCTCGGTAAATACTAGCCTGAGCATTTGAAGAGTACATTTAGAAATCAAAAACAAAAAACTGAAAATTTTAAACACACATTAGCTGCGGGATACTCATCAAATGACTAGATTAACACATAGCATTGCCATATTAGGTCATACATTCCTAATTAGTTAGGATTAAACAAATTTTTTGTAATCACAAAACCTACTGTTTCCAAATTTCATACAGAACTCAGCTTCAATTTGAAGAATACAGACTTAATTTTTAGGGTGATTTGGGAGTCTTAGAGCTAATAAAAAAAACCCTTAAACAGCTAATTTCAATCAAAGCGTGAATTTTGGCACCCTAATAAAGTCCTAAGTAGGTAATTAGCATTTCACAATCAAATTAAACCCTAATTACTCTAAACTCGATTACAATGAAAGCGAAAGAGAATCGAAAGAAGAGAGAGGAAAATCAAAAGAGAACCTGTCTGAGAAGATTATCGGCGATTCGGAAGTAAAATTGGAGAGGATAGCGATTATCGACCTCGACTCGCCGAACCATCGAATTGATGCTGATCTTCATCTTCTCCGGCGACGAATGCCAGTTGGACAAGCGGTATCGCGAGCAGAGCTTCAGGGAGGGAACGGAAGCGGAACAATGTTCTGAGCGTGCTAGTAAAGTCAAAACTCGGTCGTTTTGTGCGGAGAACTGTCGTTTTAATTTTTTTTTTTTTTAATTTTGTATGTCGACATGGTGAGGTTACAGAGGTACCGTATGGTTTTCATTACGTGCAATGCTGACTACGGAATTTCGTGAACCGATCAGTGTTAGTAGAAATTTTTTATTGTGATCGGAATATAAGTGGTACATTATGTGTTTTTATATAAATGGTGAAATATTTTATTTTTAAGGTATTAATTTTTTAACACACATATCATGCTATTTTTATAATAACACGTGATATATCATCTCTGTGTTCTGGTTACACTGACAAAAATCTCCAATCATAGGGATAGTTGAGGTGAAATTCTTGTGACAGTCATATCCCATGGACTGTTCCACCGACTCACAAAATACTGAGTATTTAAGTAATGCTTGGTGTCATGCACAACTCCTTCAACGATCACATGTAATTTAAGTAGTTCATCTGATTCGGTTGTCAGACACAATAATTTTAATACTATAACAAAAGTAATTTTGTTATTCATTCGTTTATTTTGTAACATAACAACAAAATATAAGACTGGTTTCTCTCAAGGGTGTGCACGATATCGTCTTTGTACATGGTCATCTGTTGTAAAGTGGAGCCTTCAAATCAAAGTTTAATCTTATATTCATTCGCCCCTTCATTTGTCTTTGGCCAAACGATGAAAGAACTAGGGATGAGGATAACATATAATTTCTAATACAGAAAAAAAACGCTTTTAATTACTTAAGCTATAAGTCTCTTGAAATTTTATATAATATATGTCCTGCATATATATGGTAACATTATTATGCTATAGTGTTATGGGAATTAATTAATTACGGCATCATACATATTGGAGGTTAGTACAGTAATCCAGTCCCCGCAATCATCAACACAATCCCAATTAGAATCTGGTTTCCAGGCTTGTGTGCTTCGCTTTCTTCAGCTCTCATGTGCTCAGCCACATCGAATTTACCTGCAGAAATTGCAATTTAATGACTGATTATACAAGTAACAACTGACATTTACTTAACCAAAACAAAATATAATCTCTTCACACCACCATGACTAGGTACAAATCAAAGGTTACCTCTTTCTTCGCTGTGGCCGCATCCGGCATGAATCGTGTCTCGAACGTCTTGAATCGTGGCCTTGTTGTAAAACAGGAAGTTGGTCATGATGTTTTCAAGACAATCGAGCACAAGGTGTGTCTCCGTCAAGCAAGGACCATTGCAGTATTCATCAGTTTTTTCTGCAGGTACCTTCATATTTCCACGCTCATTCAATCTGTAAGACTCTTCACAGCTGCTGTAAACCTGAACGTTTCTCGAAACCATTACATATATTTCCATGACAATTGTGTTTACGTCCACAAATTACGATTTCTAACATTTCTATGAACTTTTTTTCCTAGTGTCACGCGTAAACACTTGGAAAACTTTTTGTGCATGACATTTGTTCTAATAATTAAGTGATGGTGTGCATCAATATTGTCAAAAATGGATCTATAACGTGTTTGTATATTTTGTGGGCAATAACAGTATCTGACATATTACACATAGACAGTGCGTATCTGACATATTAATGAGGTGTGACTTACATATTTATCATTGAAACACAGCAAGGCTTTGTCTATAATTTGAGTTGGATCCTGGAGTTCAGTGCCTTTTTCTGGCTCATAACCTCTTTCAGGTGTATAATCATCAGCCATCCCTGTAATATTTTTGCACAAAAAAAAAGTTCCATTTAACATTTTATTGGAAGGGAACAATAAGTAGGAAAATAATATATATGTTTCTCTGTAACATATATATACCAGTTCTGCAGCAGAAAAGAGAGATGCAGATGAAAGCTGCAGCTAAAACTGAGAGTTGGTTCATCGTTAATGCCATGACAGAAGCTTGCAAACTAGAGCAACTACCTTGGAAGAAAAATATAGCTATTATTGGAGCTAAATCGAAATTTATACCGATGTGGTGTTAACGACCGTAGCAATATAATGGAAGAAACATATAACAACCTTGCCTACCATTCTACTTTCTTGAACATAAATCTTATTTCAGCTGTGATTTTACCAAATTCTCTCATATACATGCATTGATTGTCACCTTGAACAAACATAAGAACTTAAGTAACTTTTGTGGATGGGAAAATGCTGTAAAAGTAGATGTTGGTAGATTTTAATCGGGAGAAATGAAAACCGATTGATGGGTTTGCTCTAAAATAGGTAAAAAATTTGGAGAAATGCCGACGACTAGAAGGAGAGAGCAGTTGGAGTGCAAGTCACCAACTTCCACTTGCTGAGGACTTTTTCTCAGAGTGTCAAAAATCAAACCTAAAAATTTGCATGAGCTAGCGTTATGCAATTGCCTAACTTGTACTACAAGTAAAGATGGTGTTCCGTTAGAGAGAAAATTAAGAGTTTGAGGTTTAGTTCACGGCCTAAGCAATACCGTAAGAGAAGCAATATATATAGATTGGTAGGGAGACTTGTGGCGAATTGGCAATGAGTTACTATTCACAGAATGTACTGTTGTAAATGGCTAGCGCACAGTTTTTTCTCTTTCAAACGTGGAAAATTGATGTTTCCATTTTACATCAGTTTTCTCTTTTCTTTAAGGGTGAAAATATGGCTTTCTTGTAACCAAAGAATATTGCACTTTAGAAGGGTAAATTATATTTTGCACCTATTTGATTTACAGAACAATTTGGTCCATATGCTATACAAATATGAGGGCATTCAAATTACAAATTGTTACACCATGGTCCTCTATCTGCCAAACTATGAAAGTTTATTCTAGTTAGGAGCTTATTTCACCTATTTTTTACTTACATGGACGCTCAATTGAATATATCTAAAAATTTAAAATTTTATGAGGAAAGTTATTATTTGTTGTTCATATGGCATACATCTATTAATCTATTCTCATCAATCTAGCATCCGTGTAAGCAAAAAGTGGACCAACTTGACAGTTGACTGGCAGAGAGGTAATGGTGCAAGGATATTTGTAACTTCTTCTCCAATATTTTAAGGACATGCATGGATCAAATCGTTTGTATGCCCTAGCGGTTGAGGCAAGTGTTATCTAAAAGAAGTCGTCATAAAATACCAGTTTTGGTTAGGGATTCAACTTAAGTTGGAATCACAAAACTAACCACGAAATTAATAGAGAATGCCTAACTTTGGAGAGAAGAACTACGTACTCTTATTATAAAAAGCTAAGTGACAATTATTACATTCAGCCAATTTCAATGCTTAATTATACATATAGCTTGGTAATCAACATTAATCCTCTCAAACAACAAACTACTCTGAGCCCTCGACGAATCCATGCTCCCTGCAACATCATAAACCAAAGAATAACAAAACATGAAATGAAGATTAGTATAACATACTACGAAGATGACTAATCGCATTTGAACTTACGGGAGGCTGTATATCATTCATGACCAGATGTACAAGCAGGTCGTCTTGGGGGTAGCTGCTGGTGTGGTGTTCTCTGCAATATTGTCACGTAAATTGGGTGTTTTTATCAATACAAACCTAGTTAATTACATTATTGTAATGAAAAACACAAGAAAATCGTATAAACTTCTTAATTCGACATTGACATTTTGTTAGGAATTATCCGTTGTCTTGCCCCCACTGAAATATCAATATATATGGTTTTCGAGGTGATGGACTCGTTAGATTTTTCTAAACTTCAACGAAATTGACAATAAAAATTGTCGCGTTCCCGAAAGTAATGCACTTATGTATAGTTATAATTCTATACCTGGAGTTTTGGTCGTAAGGTCTCCACTGCTGCTGTTGATTTGGGATTCACCCCTGCACCTTGCTGTTACACATCCATGAATTGAATTTTTATTTTATTTTATTCATAGAATTGAATGAGCAAAAAGTAAAAAGATAGAGAGTAAGAGAAAAGAGGTTAAGTTTCTTTTCTTTTTTTTCTTTTTTTGGTAGGGATTAACAATACCTTGCATAGTGCCCAATCTGCTGAATCAAAGAAGGCACGTTCATGATCCTGCATGCATGCACGCACGCACACACAAATTAGGGTTTTGTTCGATGGGTTCAATGAAATATAACAGAAAAAACAGAACTGACTGAATTTTTTGAAGTGGTAATCTGTAATCGGTTTACCTTTGAAATCAAAGGCTTCTTCTTTGGCGCAAGGCCTCCATATTTGTTGGCAGATGTTGCCTGTAATTAAAACAAAAAAAAAATACAAAAAAAAAAAAAAAAAAAAAACAGAATTGTCAATACTGATTGGTGAGACATTTGGTAGGTATTCCTAAACAGTAGTTTAAGAGTAATGTTATTCATATCATCTTTTTATACCATATTTCTATACCATCTTAGATGACATCTGATGTGGACAGTCATATCATTTGAAAAATTTGCAAAACCCAAGGAAATGAAGAAGAAAGACTCCTCGTATATCACAATCATAATTTAATTAATTAGTTTTTCTTAATTATTAGTTTATTAAATAATGAACTAAATTTAAAAATCTGATTAATTCAAATGATGTTGTTGTCCACATCAAATATCACCTAAAGTAATATGAAAATGTGGTACAAAAATATAATATGAATATCATTATTGTTTAAGATGCAACCACTTCACCGCTCCCGACATTTCGAATAGGAAAGGTATATATTCCTGTCGTGTCAAAATAATAGCCGTTACTAATATCCTAAATGTAATGCGTCCCACCCACCCAAATCTGAATTTGCATTTTTGGGCCCAACAATTAGAGGTCTCAACCTAGCGGGCCGGTACAAGAACGGCACAGACACAATCCACTTAAATAAGGCAGCACAGCTTAAGTCTATTTAATTAAGATACGGCACGTCATGATTTGTAAGAAGTGGTGGAGCCGGGCCTAAGATTTAAGTTCAATGGCCGACCGGCCCAAAATTTGTTGGGCCCGTCATAACCCAAGCACAACCCGCGATCCTGGCCCATTATAAAAGACCTTATTTTTATTATTCTTAATTACAAGGTTAACAACACTTAGTATTCGTGATATGTAGCTTAATAACATGTGCAAATAAATTTTTTTAAAATTTTAAAATAACTAAAGTTTGTTTTGCTGAAGTCGGTCCAATTAGTGACCAGGCTCTGCATGGCCCAGGTATTAATGGGCTAGGACTGTGGGCTGAGCTGTGCTTAATATTTTATTAAGTAGGTCAACCCAAGCAAGCGCAATTCGTTTAATAAGCGAGTTGGCCCAAGCATGGCCCAAAGTGACTTTAAATGGGTCGAGCCATGCCATACCGACCCATTTGATACCTCTACAATAAGCTAAGAAAATTACATTTTTTAAAATCTCACATATAAAACTTCCTCAACAGATTATAGTACATGCCTTTTGGCACAAAGATGACGTAATTTTACAGATAAAATTAGAGAATTATCAAAGTTTTTTCTTATAAAAAAAAAAAAAAGAAGAATTATTATTCACTTTTTTGATATTAAAAAGATGTTTTAAATTCAAATCTCGCTATTTTGTTGTGTTTTGTTTTTAAACTGACACAAACAAGTAAGTTTCAAATTTTGGCATTATTTGTGGTGTCTTGACAAGAAAATGGAAGCAATTAAAGAAACTATTTATGGTAGCATAATTATTTTTCCCTATAGTAAGAAAAATATTTTTTTTTCGGTGTAAAAAGATATACAGTCAAGATGTCGTGTATATAAAGTAAAAGACCCTTATGTCAAATTTTCCAATCTTTTAAAATTCCATTTGATTAATTAAATACCAAAGGAGAAAATCATTTAGTATAAGAGAATAAAATATTAAAGTAAAGAAAATAATAAAATATGAAAGTAAAGAAAATCGTTTTTCTCCTGATCCTCACAAAGTGGAGAATTTTGTTGGCTTAGGATCGTCCTCTAAAGATAATCCGAAAAGAATAGACCTGTTCTCACCCACCAACCTCAATATATTAGTTCAAATTATATGTTGGGCAGAGAAAATCTATAGATAACGTAGGATAGAAGAAACTTATACGCTAGTAAATTAGTAATTAATAAATAAAAATGAGAATTGTTATTAGCACTCCAAAAATCACATTCTATACTCCAAACTTTCTATATTAGGAAAGAAAAATACACTTATGAAGAGTGTAGAATGAGATTTTTGGAATGCCAATAACACTTCCCATAAAAATACTGCTACCAACTTTATTTGAAATAAAGTGGATGTTGAGCGTATCACGTGACCCATGCAGTACCGATTGCAGATACGACCACGAAAGTTCTTAGTTTTTATACATTAGAACCGACACCATGGAAATAGCCTACGGCAATTTGAATTTTTGTATTTTTTTTCCCTTTAAATCGTCTAATTAAACTCAATAATTTGGAATTACGAATAAGAGAGAGAATACCTCATGGTCTTGGGCAGAGAAATAGTCTTGGCCTCTGTTGCAATCCTCCATCTTGGCTCTCCTGCACGATCATGGATTCTAATCAATCATGGGAACAAAATTAAGAGCTAATTAACATTGAAAACCAAAGGGAATATAGAAGAAATTTGGCATGAAAATTGAGAATTAAGACATGAAAAGAGAGAGAGAGAGAGAGAGAGAGAGAGAGGTTGCTAACAAGAACAATGCCGCTGCAAATAGCAGAAGTATTGAAATGGGGTAGGAGTAGGTTAATCTTAGTAATATATACATATAAATATAATATATATATATATAGAGAGAGAGAGAGAGAGAGAGAGAGAGACCAAAATGATAAAAGAAACAATAAGAGAAAGATAAAAGGGATCTTGGCATTACCTTGTGGATGAGCAAAGTGAGAGATGCAAAAGGGAACCAAAGGATAAAAAGAAAGAGAGAGACGAGGAATGAGGGTTGAGTGAGAGGTAAGATAAGAATGTATTTGTATTTATTTCTCTGTCTTGTATTTTAGTATTTAATTTTGATTTGAGAAATGCATATCTCAATTTTTTTTTTCTTGACACTCTGTCGAATGATTCTAATTATGCACAATTAAGTGATTCTCATAATGTATCAATGATGTCATGTAAATAATTCTATGCAGGAAAAAGAAATAAAAAGAAAGTATGTTCAAACCAAGCCTAATATAAAAGTTTGATTTATATCGTAAATAGATAAAAGAATGGGAACTAAATCTCCCTAATAAACCGTATAAGATAGCGTAGCTGAGGCTGAGGTTAATCGAATGTGAGCAAATTCTCAAATTCTATTGGACTAGGAGGAGAGCCATCGGGTGGTCCATTCAAAAACAAACAGTACATTTGTACATGTGCAATTTATCCACTTTACGTACCGACAACCACTGCAATTTTTGTTGGTTGTTTTCTTGTATGGATTTGACATGCCATTGTTGCAGTCTTGCATAGATGACATAAGAAAGGGAGTAGCGTCTAGGAGAACTGGCAGTTTCTAACACAACATGATGACACGATACGAAAATAACAGATTTTGGATTAACATGATAACTAATCGGATCATTATCAGATGACCTGTTAATAACGAATTCTTAACAAGTATACACGCGGGTAACAAGTGGGTAATCATTTTCGACTCGTTAAGAAAAATTCATTATAATTTTAAAGTTTAAATACTAAGAAAGTTATTATAAAATACAATAGCCATATTGTATATATTAATATATTTTATATTAAATATATATTTTTGTATTATTATTCTATATAAGTTTAAAAAATTAAGTTTTATTCATTTATTTATTTTTATTATGAGAGTTTCTTATTATCATTAATAGGATAAATTTTACTTAACATGTTATCCAGAATTAAAATCAACTAGTATAGTATTATTATAGGCAATAAGACATCCCTATAAGTGAAAAATGTGAAAGAATATATAAACACTCGTGATTCAACATTCCTCCATGAGTAGACAATGGTTACCCTTACATTATAGTTTAAATTTTTAAAACCCTCCAAACCGTCATGAATAGTGTTTTTAATTTGAGTGTAAAAGTAATAAAATTAATAATAATTATTGTTGTCACATCTCGACCCGGGGTCCACCATATTCCGGGCCTGCTCCATCGCTATAGCACGATATTGTCCGCTTTGGGTCCCGACCACGCCCTTACGGTTTTGTTTCTGGGAATTCACGTGAGAACTTCCCAGTGAGTCACCCATCCTGGGATTGCTCTTGTGCAAACTCGCTTAACTTCGGAGTTCCGATGAAGTCCAAAGCTAGTGAGCTCCCAAAATGTCTCGTGCTAAATGGAGGTGGGCATGTGTCACGCCCTGAGCCCCGAAATATTTATTTTCGGGAAATAGTTCCAATGATAGGCCCAAATCAATTTTCCTGTTTGATTTATTTCCAAATTGTAACTAGAATTTATATATACAAAACATAAGATTTCCTTTTATAATAAAATTCTAAACTCCTTACTTAGTTCAATTTCTCAAGCAAAGCTTTGTCTTGTTTATTGAATCTCACATATTGTATGGATGCATCTAACGTCTTGTTAGACTGCCTACGTACGCTAAACAGGGATCAAGCCATTTGTAGTTCACAATTCCAAAAATTAAAACCAAAACCAAATATATTCATTTAATCCAACATATACCACAATCGTATAAATATTCAAACCACAGCAGTTAGGTCTCAAAAGCATAATTAGAATAATGAAATTCGTATAAAAACACAATGTAGGCTCCTTGGCTTTGCGCCGCCGCCCCAACTCGCCGAAAAATTCAACTATTTCTATAAATTACAGAAATGAAGATCTCAAAGAGTAGAGCAAACTTTATACTTGAGGTCAAGTCCAATTTGGCTTGGAAAGGCTCCAATTTGGCCCAACCTCGTCGAAAACCCTATACATGTGTGACCTCGAATCATCACCTTTGGTGCTCCGCTGCCCCTACAATTGTTTGGGCTTTGTTCTAGGCCTCCAGGGAAGTCTAGTAATGGTGGTAATTGGAGGGAAACATTTCACAATTGGTGGAATTCAGACAAGGGTGGCCACAACACCCACTGGTGTTTCGTCCCCAAACCACATCCAAAACCCTTATGTTTTTAGTAGAATTGAGAGAGGGGAGGTAGGGTAAGTGTTTCCAAGTAATAGGTGGTGGCAATTTCGCCGTGGAACACCATGAAGGAAGTTGGTATTTCTCGCCTAGTCGGGTCGGGAAAACACCTGCACCCTCTTCCCCTTTCTCTCTCTCCTTTCCCTCTTTTTTTTTCTGATTGGCCCGTGACTCTCCCTTTCTCTCTTTCCTTTTCCATCACAACCACACACGTGACTTCTCAGATCCTTGCTCCAGCAAATATGGAGCCTTCTAGAAATTGATTAAATGACCATTTTATCCCTAACTTCAATCTTTAATAACTTTTTCGTTATAACTCTGTTTTACAAACGGTTGGCGCCCACGCATTTGTGAGATCGACCTTAATTCAAAAATATAAATTGTGACCTCGAATGGTCTACGAATTTTAAATAATTAACTTCCAAACCTCAACTTTGTAACCAGTTTAATTTAAAACTGATCTCAAATAAATTAATATAATTTCTTGAAAATTAATATAAAATTTCAATAATACAATTACGTGAATTATAATAATTTCCCAATTCTATCTTCATAACCGTAAATCAATTTATTTTCGATTTTCTCCACATATTCATAATTATATTATCTAATTCATATCTTTAAATTTTTCAAGGTGTTACATTCACCCCCTGTTAAAATAAATCTCGTTCTCAAGATTTCAACCGTCAAGTTACGAGAAGGAACTAACACTACTTCCACCATTTCTTTTATAGTGAAATAAACTTATAACATCCGTCTCCAATTTTATTCAAGTTACAAAAATAAGTGAAACATTAAATTATAATTGTGATTATTACTCACATTCTCATATTCCCAAACACATTCATTGGCAAAATACATATCAAAAATCCTAACCACACCCATTGGCAAAATAAATATCCACATTAACCCAAAATTTTTCATGGCCTTCATTGGCTATACACAGCTGTTACCCCAATCCTTCTAAATTTTTAGCTACCATCATTGACGATACCAACATCAGAAAATACTCGATATTGGTAGCATAATTATTCTAAATTTATAGCCATAACTATTCTCGGCTAATTAAATATCAAAATTCTAAATCATCCATTAGTAACCTAGTAAAATCTCAAAATTTCAAGCCAAAGCTTTATAATTGGCAAACCAAACATCAAAAATTTCAACCAAATTCATTGGAAATTTCCAATCACACTCACTGGTTAATGGAAAGAAGATTTAAACCAAATTCGCAACACCACTAATATAAATTCTCATTCTACAGTTCCTTCCATTTCTGCGATTAACTAAATTGCCCATAGTAAAAATTTAAAGCCTTTTAAATCTTTCTTTCGATCGTTTTTTTTTTCTCAAAGTACAGCCACAAATATAATAAATAAGTGACTCGCACCTTCAGAATACCATTCACATTTCATCAATTAAAAGAGAAAATTTAAATAGGTTACATTATGTTGGCCAAACATACTAAACTTTATTTATCACATAGCCACGAGGATAAGTGCTCGTTATTAAATTGGTTCGCAATATCCAATTCAACAATGACAATTCATAACTGTGGTAACCAAACCCATCGAGATTATAATTATAGACTTCCCCATCAAGTCTAGCTGTGATCGTCAGTGGCTAAGTAAATATCACAGTGTCAAACCAAACAACTAAAATTGATAAATCAATTAGCAAGGTTCCAACCAAAATCTTTGGAATTCCAACCATAATTACTTGCCACTAAAATAAAGATCCGCAATTTTCGTTACCATGGAATGAAATCAAAATCTCATTCCTTGATTTCCTTCGTTTCGGCAATTTACTCAATTTCTCGAGGCAAAATTTTAAAAACCTTATCTTTTCTTTTCTTTCTTTTCTCTCATATTGGTAAGAAAATAAAAAGAAGTAAATGAACATAAGGCTTATGGGTTTCCATACACCCAAATTTGTCATGAAACCACATAACACACCCAAGTTTGTCATGACATCACCTAACACACTTTCGCATGTCAAGAGACAACAAATTGTGCAAAAAATGAAGCATCAATGAATCTCTTTTAAACTACTGGTGGTCCAATTGTTTTGTCTCACATTGACAAATCGAATGTCAAATTCTGAGTCATGACTATCGTGGCTAACAAAATATCAGAATTTCACACCATAATTCATTAATGGCAACCCAAACCAATCGAAATTACAATTATAAACTTTTCTCGCCAATTCTTGTCATTAAACGAAAAAAACTCAACTGAGAAATCATTTATATTAAACGAACTCAAAATTTCATTTCATAGTTTCATTCATGTCTACCCACCACTCTAATTATAGTAGACAACCATAACCACAGTTTAAAATTTCATTCCCATTCGGTAAATCACCATATCTTCCATAAATATTTAAAATTTCCAATCATAATTATCGTTGGTCATAAGATTTTTCAAAATTCTATCCACACTTAACATTGACAGAACAATGATTTCACCATCATTTTCTTTTATTTCAATCAGTGACTAATAGGCTGGAAAAGATTGTATTATACTTGGCCAATACACATCACACTTCCTTTTTCTTTTCTTCTTCTTCTTTCTTTTTTTTTTTTTTTTCATATCTACTGGCCTTTTCCGCCCAATTTCACATTCACGGGCCTCTTTTTTTTTTTTTTTTTCGCCCCATTTCACATTCACGGGCTTTTTTTTTTTTTTTTTTGCCCCATTTC